GTCAGTTCTGCAGAGGAGGCGTATAAAGAACGAAATCGTAATTGGTTTCGTTTCGGATTTGGTGGAAAACAGTCCTACCATACGGATGCGACCCACAGGAACATATTTTTTCCGAGAAACACCACCCTAACTTGGGACACTTATTAGGAGCGTGTAAACCTTCATAGATAATCTTTTACTAGAGAATTGTCAGATTCGGCCAGGAGTTACAGGGAATTCTGACGAAAATAGATTTATCTAAGTAGTCTGATTATATTTTTAGGACTGTTATTTTTGTATTTATTAGGTTTTCATTTTCATCAGTTTTATTAATAAATTTCATGCTAAAATAATCTTTATTTCATAAAAGTACTTTTGGTATTTTCTGTCAGAATTAAAAAGCTCTTAATATCAACAGAGATAAAATTATTAATAGAAACGAGTAAATTAGTAGAAAAAGTAAATGTTATCTAGTAGACGCCTACGACAAAAACAGTTTCCGAGTTGTAGCCATGTTTTTAGGGTACCGTATTTACGACATAACAAGAAACATATGAACTTTTGAAGTCCTCCAGCTTGTAGAAGTCTAACTATAGACATTTGCGTCATAAGAACTTTGCGAAACTTTGTCAAAGTGAGGCTGGGTTGCGCGATCTTATTTCAGCAATATCAAAGTACTGGTTATGTAAAAAATAAGTTGCAACATGTTTACCGACCATGGTAAAAATGAAGTCATAATTTTATGCTACTGTAACCACCTAATTCAACCCAAGCTTTAACGGTTAGCGCTATTGTTTACGTTTATTTGATTGCCAGATGCTATCAAATTATTGCTGAAGTGGCGTCACCGTGGCCAGTAGGTACGACCCGAGAAATTCTTGCTGAAAGTTTTTCTGAGAATTCTGAGATTTTAAAATGGTACAAAAGAGAGTACGACGATACAATAATCCATTTCCCTACACGCCGATTTTCCCTTTGGCTGTCTGTTCTACCGATAGACAACTATATCGATAAACTATGTTCTCTGTAGAATTGTTTCATTTCTGGTTCTATCGTTCTTGGAAATTGCGGGCGTTCAAGTCTCTCTGTCTTGAGCAACTTCCAATTGGCGTTTAATGCCGTTCCTCGAAGTGCTGTGAAGGAATACATCCGCAGTAATGCCTTTGACAGCATAGAGATTTAATACCTATGAGGAACTATTGCAGGAATTAATTGGTGCCTCGTACATATTACTCGTACATTAAAATAATTATTTATACGGAACGCTCTACATTCAAGTTACTGTTAGCAGAGCAGATAACTAGGTCTATTGTAGTATTCCGAAGTATTTTCAGTATTCAGCAGATAGTCTATTTCTGTTTATTTTACATTAGTTTAATAGTTTTATTAACATCCTCAATGTAATCGTAATTTATGATATTTTCTGTCTTCTATTTAAATAAACATGATAAAAATATTACGGATCAGGCCATATCAATTAAGAACGGGTCGCCTGATTTATGTAGTGATAATTTTATATACTTTTTTGTTGTGATCGTAATCGTCTAAACAGGTTTCTAAGAAAGAAAACTTTGAAAGATCCCTGTGAAAAAGTCGGATATTTGTATAATATAAAAGCGAATACTTACCTACTTCTTTGAAACTGTTTTCCTAGGATGTCTTTTATCCTAACGTACATCCGGTACATCATCATTTACTGTAGGTAACTCAATTTTGGGGCGGCTGTTACGGTGATTTACTAGAGCGCAAAAGCACTCCAGTTTGATTTCCGAGTCGTAAAGATTATTCTGAAGGTACCCTATTTATCTACAAGTGGTAAAGAAAAATATGTAGGTATGTGAATTTGGAATCTTTGCGTTAGTATTCATGATGTCATCCTAGCGATAGATATGTCGCAGTAAGATAGATAAAGCCGTAATATAGTTATATCCCTAGGGATATAATTATATACCGTAACATAGTTATAGGAAAGCGATTCATTACTATCTCACTAGGAATATAGTTATAAAACGGCCCAAGTTTAGTGTAGTTTATATTACTAGATTAAGTTTAGTGAAATAGCTTTCGGAGTGTGCGGCGCCTATACCAAATGAAAACTTGTCACTGGGAGAAATATGCCAAAAATTTACGTGTTTTGGTGGCCTGTAAAAATCGAACATACAGTGTTCTGCTAAAAGATGTCATGATTCCTCTTCTTGTCTGAACAAAAATTATAAAATACTTTTAAAGAAACCAAAGAGACCAAAGACCACATACATAGAAAGGCGATTCTTTCTCTAATTAACTCAATAAAAAACGAAAAGAAATAGTGCCAGCTAAGTCTAGTGTTCCTGTAGTTTCATTTCTGTTTCCTTTTAATTATAAGTATTGTCTTAGTCCAAATACAAAGTTGATTGCCTAGTTACTTCAATGTGAGGTATGGTTTGATTCCAATTGTGATTGTGATGGAAGTTAGTTGTTCATGATATTTTGCCTATCATTCTATACTATAAACAGTGAAAGAAATAGAGCAGAATGAGTTATACCAAATTGTAACTATTTGTTGAAGAAACATTATGTGGCCTGCTCCAATTTGAAGTGGAGATACACCTATTTAACATATTAAAATATCTTCATTAATGTTCAGTGACTAAGTACTAAAGTAGGTACTAAATTGCTGAATGTTTAGCAAAATAGACTAGCAACCTAGTACACTAAAGTAAACAAAAACACGTTGCGGTTGGTGGTGCTTCACTAATCATTTATACTGAGCTCTGTGACCGCGTTCCAAGCGTCCTAATGTTTTTGCAGCTATAGAAAGTTCAAATTATATACAAATAGAAAGAGAAATTGGGAACGATTAATTTGCAGAAACTTTAGTGTCGAGTCAATCGACGGAGTGATTACTAATTTAGAGTATTTCGTTCATTAGAAAATACCCCACTCTGTGTAGTAATTACAGATTTAATTGAACTGTTTTTATCACGCAAATTGACTCCGATTTTCTTCAATTTTGGTAAGGATGAAGGCTTGAATCAACCTGATTTTATAACCAAGCACATAGGGGAATCTTTTTGCCTGTATCTCACCTATCTGACCTGATGATTTTATGAGACTAAATACGGCACTCTCCGGACAACGGCATCCTTCCATGGGTTTAAAAGGGTTTTTGAGTTTGGGTTGTTAGACTCCACTTAAGACCTTCGTTTTTGAATTTAGCCTTTGGACAGTCCTGAAACAGCTCACCGTTCAGTTTCTTGCTGCTTTTGCGGATCTCACTAAAGGAGAAGAAATTTCGCACCTAGAGGATATCTAGGAAAACTCACCATCCAGCTCTTTACTGCTCCTCCGGATCTCGCAGAAGATGCACACGTAGCAGACGGTGATGACCACCAGAGGCACGAAGTACATGGCACAGAGGCAGAACACGGTGTAGGCCAACTCTTGCCGCTCGCTGCGGAACGCGTCGAATGAGACGCACTGTTCGAAGCGAAGAAGTTAAGCTTCTAAATAGATTCTAGAACTTACCGTCCAGTTTCTTGCTGCTGCTGCAAACATTCCCAGAAGTCTCGCGAAAAATACACACATAGCACAACGTAATGACGATGGGCATGAAGAAAGGAGAAGAAATTTAGCACCTAGAGGAAATCTAGGAAAACTCACCGTCCAGCTCCTTGCTGCTCCTTCGGATCTCGCAGAAGATGCACACGTAGCAGACGGTGATGACCACCAGAGGCACGAAGTACATGGCACAGAGGCAGAACACGATGTAGGCTACCTCTTGCCGCTCGCTGCGGAACGCGTCGAATGAGACGCACTGTTCGAAGCGAAGAAGTTAAGCTTCTAAATAGATTCTAGAACTTACCGTCCAGTTTCTTGCTGCTGCTGCAAACATTCTTAGAAGTCTCGCGAAAAATACACACATAGCACAACGTAATGACGACCGGGGCCATGAAGAAAGGAGAAGAAATTTAGCACCTACAGAAGATCTAGGAAAACTCACCGTCCAGCTCCTTGCTGCTCCTTCGGATCTCGCAGAAGATGCACACGTAGCAGACGGTGATGACCACCAGAGGCACGGAGTACATGGCACAGAGGCAGAACACGATGTAGGCTACCTCTTGCCGCTCGCTGCGGAATGCGTCGAACGCACTGCTCGAAGCCATGCGAGATAAAGATAACCAGTAGGACGAAGGAATTACGCTTCTAGAAAATTCTAGAACATCTCAACGTCCAGCTTCTAGCTGCTTCTTCTGTTCACGCAGATGATACATAAATATGTAGAACACCCTGATGACGATAGCATGATGTAGGAGAAGGAAGAAGAAATAATTTAGCTCCTAGAAAAGTTCTAGAACAACTCACCGTCCAGCTCCTTGCTGCTCCTCCGGATCTCGCAGAAGATGCACACGTAGCAGACGGTGATGACCACCAGAGGCACGAAGTACATGGCGCAGAGGCAGAACACGGTGTAGGCCACCTTCTGCCGCTCGCTGCGGAACGCGTCGAATGAGACGCACTGTTCGAAGCGAAGAAGTTAAGCTTCTAAATAGATTCTAGAACTTACCGTCCAGTTTCTTGCTGCTGCTGCAAACATTCCCAGAAGTCTCGCGAAAAATACACACATAGCACAACGTAATGACGATGGGCATGAAGAAAGGAGAAGAAATTTAGCACCTAGAGGAAATCTAGGAAAACTCACCATCCAGCTCCTTGCTGCTCCTCCGGATCTCGCAGAAGATGCACACGTAGCAGACGGTGATGACCACCAGAGGCACGAAGTACATGGCACAGAGGCAGAACACGATGTAGGCTACCTCTTGCCGCTCGCTGCGGAACGCGTCGAATGAGACGCACTGTTCGAAGCAGAGAAGTTAAGCTTCTAAATAGATTCTAGAACTTACCGTCCAGTTTCTTGCTGCTGCTGCAAACATTCCCAGAAGTCTCGCGAAAAATACGCACATAGCACAACGTAATGACGACCGGGGGCATGAAGAAAGGAGAAGAAATTTAGCAACTAGAGGAGATCTAGGAAAACTCACCATCCAGCTCTTTACTGCTCCTCCGGATCTCGCAGAAGATGCACACGTAGCAGACGGTGATGACCACCAGAGGCACGAAGTACATGGCACAGAGGCAGAACACGGTGTAGGCCACCTCTTGCCGCTCGCTGCGGAACGCGTCGAATGAGACGCACTGCTCGAAGCCTGCCACGCGAGGGTGTCGCTTCACTCGGAACACGATACTCTGTTGACAAAAAAGAACGTTAAAATTAAATATTTTCATGTCAATCAACCAATCAAAAAAAAAAATTCAATCGAATACTAATTCTATTCAAATACCGTCATACCACTCGTTCTTTCCCACCACCATTAAGTGACCTGAATCGCTCTTTTCTAAGTACGTCCCAAATACAGATAACATCACTTCTAGACTAAAATTACGGTTGGTGCTGAGAAGTGAATCATTACAAAGATTGAAAATGTATTTTAGAAGCATTTATATTTTAATTCGCATGCGATATTCACAGAAATCGAAATGAGATAATATTTTAATTTTAAAATACAGTAGGGGGGGGGGGGGGCGCCGAGGTGAGTTGTAACAGAGGAGAGTGTGACGTTGTTGATTTTTGGAAACCTATTAACTATCAACGAGCTCGCAACAGCGCGTATTTGTTAGCTCGGGAGTTGAACTAAACAACGGCCATTTTTACGAGCTCATCAGCAGATAAGTTACAACAATTCTTCAATGTCACAAGTCTCCTCCAAGCTCTGTTACAACTCACCTCAGTCTCCCCTATCGCTATGATGTATTCATGGTAAAAACAGCGGTTTGATTGAGAATAGGTATGCAGGCCACGTCTCAAGCAAAGGCAGTTTTACAATAATGAAGTCACGTTAACTGAGCAATTCAGTAATTCTTTTCCAATTGCTGCTAACTTAAGTATATCGTCTTTCATCTCGTCGAAGGGCGTCTTACAAAGTCAACAGGGGCCTAATTGAAGTAATTTTAGCAGTGTTTACGTTCGTATTCGGCAATCCACAGAATGTACTTGTATTTACCAAAAGTATTGTGCAGGCAAAACTCATCACATTACAGAATAAAATAGTTTCTACTGCGATGAAATAAGATTACTTAACACAATATTTAAATTGATGAGCTGTCATTACAAGAGTGCGGCAGCTTAATTCAAGCACTTAGATTCCGCCCTTGAGTCGCCTGGCTTGAAAAAAAGTATACAATATCTAATGTCATACATTAAAGTATGTGTATGTATAATGTACCTTTCAAATTAAGAAATAATGTACTTAAAATAATAAGCTCTGAAGTACATACAATATCTAACAACATTTTCATGATCCCAAACGAATACTTAGTAATAGAATTTGCAATGCACGCTAACTAGCAACTAAAGCTTTCATGTGCATAATATCGGCACGTACAAAGTGTCGAGCGGTATTCAGTCTGAATGAAGGCACGAGCTTTTGGGAGCTTTTCTATTACTTGACGCAGGCGTCGGGTGCAGCTTCGGCTTGTCGAGGATTTTGTACTTTGGCTTCCATGCCTTTTGACCTGCTAATGAAGACTCGCTGTTTTACGTGACTGTATGCTTCATGCTATACTAATTGCCTTGAATATACCTAATAGTAAAAATCCTACTTAATATTATAAATGCGAAAGTTTGGATGTCTGGATGTTTGTTACTCTTTCACGCAAAAACTACTGAACGGATTTTGATGAAACTTTACAGTATTATTGTTTATAATCCAGAATAACATATAGGCTATAATTTATGACGATCTGTGACAAACTAAATTTCACGCTGGTGAGGCCGCGGGCAAAAGCTAGTGTTAATATAGATTCATATTATTCAAGTGAACAACTCATAAATGGAGGAGTTAGAAGTTAGAAGAATACCTATTACCTACTTTATATCAAATCAGCTGTAAAAAAAGCTTTAATCAAGCTGTAATTTAGCAACTTGTATTCTTTTCAAAATATGTACAATATTATTAATTTTAAGCTCATTTAAAAAGCGTCTATGTTGTTTAAATCTTAAATACCAAATTATTTTACGCCTCTCAGACCTTAATATACGTTATAATTACTCTTTAATAAAGAGTTTCGTATTGCTTAATTAGGTGTGTGTGGATCATGAATAAGGACTCGTGAATAATGTAAAGTAAATTATGTTAGTAAGTAAACAATCTTGAAAATCAGGATTATTTATTCATAATAAATTAGGCAGGCGGATCAGATAGGAAACATTAATAGGTAACTAGGTAAGTATCTTCTTTATACATATTAATTTTAGAACAGGTGTTGGCAAAGTAGGAAAAGTAGGACCAGTGCTTGTTACCTAAAGAAAATATCGTTGTATTTATCCTTGCAGTATCCAATCTACACTGGATGCACTCAAAGGAAATGTAACTGAGAGAAACGCCTAGTATGTTATTTCAGTATCTTAATGTATCTTGAACGCCTGTCTCAGGGTCCTTATAAAAAGAAGATATTAGGAAAAACTAGAGTAGATAGGTACTTTCATGAATTGTTGAATAAGATGCAGTACCTACCTACTAACTAAGCATAAAATAACTGTATCGACGATTGAAACATGAAACCCCCTCAAAGAGAGGTTTCTAAAATACTAGAACGTGTGTCCTTTTATTTCTATTTATAGGTGAAAATACCAATTTTCAAGTGCTTTATTAACGACTAGCTTTTGCCCGCGGCTTCACCCGCGTGAAATTTAGTTTGTCACAGATCGTCACAAATTATAGCCTATATGTTATTCTGGGATATAAAGAATAATACTATAAAGTTTCATCAAAATCTGAAACAGTTTTTGCGTGAAACAGTAACAAACATCCATCCAGACATCCCGATATCCAAACTTTCGCATTTATAATATTAGTAGGATTAACAGCGATTAACGGTGAATTTTGATACTGAATGGGAATTTCCCTTTTGGGATCTATCGTAATTAGCCCTGACACGAATCCGTCCTTAGTCTATGCCTTCTAAGACCTATAAATAAACTAAAAAAGTAGCTCGACAGCTCCCAGAATTATCCTTATTTGTATTTAGTCAGTGAATTAATAGTGACAGTCCACTTTATTGTCGGACTATCAGTTTTTATCAAATACGCTATTGTCAGCCTCTTTTTCAAGGGTTTAGTCTTGATGGTGTACTCTTTAAGTATCCGCGGAGTAATCCAACTGTTTTATTCTCTATTCATTTTTATCAGCTTATTTTTGTCGTCGTTTGAGAAATCTTGCTACTAAATATGCATGGGCTCGGTCTATCCCACTTTGATCAGTTAGTTACATATAAAGTTGTTTAGTAATCTCCATGCCAGTATCATTTCAAGTGTTAACATATTGATACAAAACTAGTGAGCGCAAACTATTTAGCCCTTATTTTGCCAGAAGTCTCCAAAATGTGTTTAAGCACAGCATGTTTATCATCATGATCATCATTTCAGCCATAGGACATCCACTGCTGAACATATGCACATCGCACGGTTGGTGGCGACCTGCATCCAGCGTCTTCCTGCTACCTTTATCAAGTCGTCGGTCCACCGTGTGAGTGGACAGCGTGTTTATAGTCAATTATTTTTTAAGAGTTTAACAAGGTTCATACAATATAGTGGCAATAAATGTGACCTTTATAAAGCTCAAAAGAATTCTGCCTTGCCTTTGTGGCTCGGCACACGTGTGATCAAGGACAAGGTAAATACCATATACTCCTTTTGTTTTACTACGCCAATGGCATACGATCCAGACTTTCATGATATCGGGTGTCACTTAACTTTCCTTGAAACGCCAACCAAGGTCCCGTTTGTAACTTGATATCTGAATCAGAGACTCAAGGTCAACTGACGCGATGTTCTCTGTATATTTAACGCTGCCTTTAGTTTTAAATATATATAGTATGTCTAGCATAAGAAGGGTAAATCTTTCTTTAAACTAAACATTGGTATACCTAATAGTTTATCCGACTTATTTGTCTGGATATTGCTTTAAATAATTTTATTTCTGAAAGATTGTGTAGTTCAAAGATAGATAGATATATGGTTTATTTGCAAAACACACTGACACACAAGTAGCAAAAAGTAAGATTAATAAACACAGGAGTAGCAGAAAAGATATAGTAGGTACATTACAAAGAGTAAAAAAGAAAATCCTGCGCTAAGGTATGTGTGCCGCAGCGATGCAAAAAAGCAGAGAGCTCAGTGTAGACACTGCTCTAAAATGAGCAGAACACTGATTTTCAGCTCTTGCTCTCAATGGTAGAGAATAAGGTGGTGAAAATGTTGTACTATTGTAAACCTACAGAAATATCAGAAATTAGGGAAATATAATAATTATAACTATTGTTCTTATATGGTTTATACATACATATACCTACTATCTGTCTATGAATAGGAGTATGAGACTTAATAGTGTAAAATGGAGAATTTAGTTAGTAGTTAAACATCACAACACGTTATTTAAAATCACAACACGTGTTTTCAATATCCAAGTTGCACTAAAACTAATTAACGATAAAACGTTACTCTGCTGGAAAACGCCCACTAATTTCGACTGTTTATTATTCATCCCACTCTAGTTCGACTGTTACGAGTAGAACTGTGGTTCAACTGGGAACTAAAAGCGTTTATGTAATAAATATACACTCGAATCGAATTTATCGGGGTAACATTGAGGCGTTTCACGATTGTTGTTTTTGTCAACTTTATTGCCGTGGAAATAAAGGTCTAGCGTCTGGCCAATGGTTTGTAGAACATTTGTCAGCTTGAGTAAATATTATTATGTCCTATGTTTTGAATCACGTAGGTAGTTCGAAAAATTTTTCATCACCGTTTTTCTTTCTTTTGTTTTAGTCCAGTCAAATTAAACATGAACCCTGCAATAATTCGCATACAGCTGAAAATTGGTACGAATGTTCGGAGCACCATTATGAATTAACTGTGAAAAGTCCCCATCGATCCGACATGTGCTAAAAAAAAAATTCAAGGTCAAACTTAAAAAATACGGGTTTTTGAGATTTTCAGCCAAACGGTAAGTTTTATCACAAAAATATGTATGACAAGGTTTAAGACCATACAATTATCTATCAAAATTGTCTATACACTTTCTTCTAAGAGTCAGCGTTTCTGAGATTCGATGATCCGAAGAGTCAAAAAAGTGTTTTCTTCATAACGGTCTTACACATAAATCCAATGTGATATCGCCTCGTGCCAC